ATACGACCGCCACAGTGCCCCGCTCCTTTGGTACCGCCGCTGCAGCGCCCTGCTTAATTTGATACTGCCGCCGTAGCACCCTGCTCAATTCAATTCTGCCGCTGTAGTGCCTCCATCCGTCGTTTCGAGCCTAATGGCTTATTCAACATTGGACAGGGCTCTCCCTTCCGGTGCAGCAGAGCCGCAGCTCCCTTTGGTTGTAGTGAGAGCCCTCCATCTGATGCTTTCAATCACGCCACGTATTCAGCTGCAAGAGGGACTCTCCCTTCCGTTGCAGCAGAGCCGCAGCTCCCTTCGGACACAGTGAGAGTCCCTTACCTGGCCTTCCATTGTGCTCCTTATTCGGCGGCAGGTAGGGCTTGCCATCCGATGTGGTGAGCCGCAGCTCCCGTCAAGCACTGCACGACCCCGCCCAGCCGCCTCCTTGCACACCCCACTTTTTCTTCACGGCACGCATATTTTTGGGGGGCTACTAACAATTTTCTCTCCGGCTGCTGTCTCATGCCATTAGCTTCTTTTCAGGGGGTTCTCTGGGTTCGGGCTCTATCCCGAGCTCGGAGCCCTCCCTCTGGACAGCACGCCAAATATGCTACTAATTGCTCAATCATATTATATGTTAGTGCGAACTCGTGAAACGTGTTACGCAGTGTTAAATCAGGTTCTGCAAAATCAGGTCCAGACGGCTTATTAGGGAACACCCTGTTACTCACTCACGAGGGCAGAACTCACCTTAAAAACATCAAAGTCCTCTAATTCATTCTCAGAACACACCTTCACTACTACTTTCCCACACCTTACATCACACACACACACACACACACACACACGATGTAAGTATCTTGTGTGTGTGTGATGGTGTGGGAAAGTAAATCAAATCAGGATCACACATTCCCACAGCCTGTGCTGATTAATATTCAGCTGAGTCATTCTTTTGCTCCATTTGTTAATCAATCAGTACAATAGAGCAGTGACTGTCTGCACAATGTTCTGTTCAGTTGACCTTTAACTCCTACAGCTGTGCTGGCAATACATCGCTGGCCCACGGGACATTCCTGGGGGAACTTCAGACAGTCCAGAGGAGAGATGGCTGGAAACATGCATGTGTAGCATCTCAAGGACAACACTGCAAGAGAGGGAGGAGAATCAGTGAATGTTTCAGAATCAGCATCTGATACATAAAATGCTTAGACTAGCCTTACATGTTAGTCCTCTAATGTTTTTCTTTAAAGGGGTCATGAACTGCCTCTGTTTTTATTTTGTACTGTTCTCTGAGCTCCACTTATAATGTTATCAAACGTGGAGGATTGTAGACTCTGAAGTAAACGTCCACTGCTATGATTGGCTAACAGTTGTGTATGATTTAGGTTAAAAATGCATAAATACTCATATCAAACGATCTGTTTAACAGATAAAGCCATAGCGATCACTTGTGTGTTGCAACATTACTGTCGGATCCAATATAGTTGCACAACATCGTATTTTAGTTTCAAACTTTCTTAAAATCGAATTGTTGAATTGCCGCGTCGAACTGTGCCTTGTTTGTAAACGAATCTGCGGTAAAATGAAGTAAACAAAGGACCGAGTTCTTACTGACGTGGTCTGAATCTTCATTAAAAATTAAACACATTCACTGTTTCCTAACATTGGGATCAGAAGGGAAGCAAAGCAAAGACACATCTTGGCAGTAGCCCCTCACTGCAGAACACAAAATCCAGGGGGCGTGGTTGGATCCACATCTAGGGGGTGGAGATTGGTAGGTTTAGGGGTGGAGATGGGTGGGTTTAGGGATCAGGGGGTGGAGACGGGTAGGATTAGGTATATGTAAGGTGGGAGGAGTTGGATCTGGATCCAACCACGCCCCCTGGATCTTGTGTTCTGCAGTGAGGACCATCTCCATCTTGGCACTGCACAGTGTCTTGTCTTCAGAGCATCTTTATCGTTTGCTTTCTGAGTAGACCTGCGTTTGCCTCTCTCGTTATTTACACTACTTGTGCGAATCAGTTGGCGGAGCAAAACAAGCAGTGACGTAGAATTGGTGGGCGGGGCTAAACAGGCAGCGCTGTAGAATCGGTGGGCGGGACTAAACAGCAGCTATGTAGAAGCAGGTGTTGATCTTTTTCTGTGGAGGCGATGCTTATCGACACTACTGCATCATAGAGTAGAACCAGGGCTGTCCTTAGCTAATGTGAGACCACACCAGTTGCACCGGCCAAAAGATGGCCCTAAGTAGAACATTCCACAACCTGTCATTTTGACAGAGTGGCTTCAATATAAGCAAAAGTTTTGAGTTCTGAAACTTAAAGGATGTACAATGACCTCTTATATTTCAAAAGATCAAGGGAATTTTGTTTTCTCAGTTCATGACCCCTTTAAAACGGGTCAATTTACGTTGGTTACCTAAAAACTTACACTGGTCTAATCTGAATAATAAGACTCACTGCCCCTTGGTGAACTGCTAGTTGGTCAGACTACTTCTTAAGACAATCTTAGCATAGAGACTAAGGACCGGATTTACTATAAACGCAAAAGGCAAATTAGCGTGAGAGCACAGTCTCATAAAAGCGCTGACGGGAGTGGAAAGTTCTGCGGGTTATTTACTGAGAACACAGATATAATTTCCATAATGACCCATGCAAAACCAAGAGCAGCGCAAATTTGCGTAAGTATATGTTCAGATAATGTCTTCCTCTGGCATTCCAAATAAATTCATTCTCTCCCTTCTATCGCGCTCTCTGTCCTCTGTGGTGCCTCCTCCTGGCATCAACAATCACAGCCATGTCAAGCGCAAAATGGGTTGACGCAGGCTTTTGGGTGGTGAATAACGGAGCAAATACCAGTGAACGGACTACCGCAAACTATGGTAAATCAGGTTGTGTGCTTCTTGTAAATACTCTCCTGAAAGGGCGTCTGAATGGGGCACTTCTACAAATGCATATGCAATAAGGTCAGCCACACAGATGTCTACATGGCCTTTGCATCGCTAATTTTTCACTGCACGTCTTTAGTAAATCCTGACAGCAGTTTTTTAACGCCAAAAGAGGGTTTGCACTGGCACAAGCTGTTAGAAAATCTGGCCCTAAATTTATGCAACTGGCCCCTGGTTTCAGAGCAGTGGTGCAGTGGACACATGGGGAGCAGGGTTTGAGTCCTGATCCCGTTCACCCTTCCTCATCCATACTTTTGTGTCTACACATCTTTTAGTTAAAATCAAAGGTTTCTCCTGACACAGAGTTGAGAGCCAAAGAAGAGGAGACCTGGGGTCACATGCAGTTTAAAAAGTCCTAATTATTCTAGAGGACACTAGATCTGAATAGCCACATGCAATCAAGGAATTGAAATCTTTAGCAGTTGTTATGGGATAGAGTAGTGCACGATTCATTCCAAACATGTGAACTAAGAAGATACTGATGAAGTTAGGAATATATCTGTACTCTCATTCATTAGGCCTTGAATGGCAAAAACTCTTAAGTGATGCTTTTTATAATTAGAAAACAGCTCCAGCTGAGAGATCTTACCTACATTCAGCACTACACCAACCAAGCACATCGTCTTCAGTGAGGCGACAATAAAAATGATAAGAATCACAAGTTTCTTTGGTTGAATGAATAATAATCTCCATGTTTAGGTGCATCCTACCTGCTAAAGGCAGACAGCCGATGAGGATGAGGAGGGATCCTTTAGATTTCATCATGATGGTGCGTCTCCCTCTGATCACCAAAAAGCTAGGAGAGTCAACCTTTCCTATTTTTCCAGATCAAATCGAGCAGTTTCCCTTTCCTAATTCCAGGCATGTAATATTGAGTATAAAGGAGTCAGAATCTAAATGGACGCCACTATGAAACTCCCACAGCTTTTGGTTTGCTGTTGTCTAGAGCTGAAATCACAATAGGATTGTGGTGGGCTTTGACTGGCTTGGACTCCACCCTGGCGGTTTAATTTGATTTAGTGGCGATTACTTGAGAACTGAACTGGAGTCAGGGCCTAAATTAAAGGCCAATTCACACTGCACCGACAGACACAGATCCAACAAGTCCCCACAAGCACAGATTCAACATTATCAATCGACGAAAACAAACGCTGATCAGACAAAGCCCAGCGGACGTCTGCGTCTGTCGGTGCAGTGTGAATTGGCCGATAGAAAACGCAGAACATCTGACATCTTTTTTTACGACAGGCAAATAATACATTTTCATAATTGTTATAATCAGGTGCTGCCACTACTATAGCTTAAAAAGGAGTGTATATGTGTGTTTGTGAGCACAACAACGAACAAATGCACAGCCTGTTTGTTCCAAATTACTGGCATGCAGAGCAGCAGGGAAATCAAATGACAGCAACCTTGTGACACAAGCGTGACACACAGTCACGATAAACGGTTTGCTAGTTATTACGCCAAAGGCACACACAAACACACACCAATGCAAATCTCAGACACAGCATGAAGATATTTCAGAGTCGCCTCTACTGAACTGACACTGCTCACTCCCAACAGAGTCATGCAACATACATGTGGAGCCAAAGAGGACATGACTGTGTGACTTACGTGAGGCTGTTTGCTGGTTTTGCTTGAGAAACGAGGGATGGACAGATGTTCTTTAATCCCGTCTATCCTCTGCTAGTCTTTGTCTCGATCTGTTGCTCCATTTCCCTGGAGTCGTGGCTGTGTCATTTTGAGCTGTCTGTGTATCAGTGGCCTCATGCCTACGGCCGAATCACAGCCACGCTGCTATACAGTTATCACGTGCCACGTTTCCCGGGCCTAAAAGCTCCTTCAGATCCTAAAAACAAACAAGAAAAGGTGCTATTATACACTCCCTGCTGTACTACTACCGACAAATCATAACCTTTATCTCTGTGGCGAAATCACAGGCAGCGATTCATTTTTAAAGAATCATTAAAGTGCTGGTGTCACTGTGGTAAAACAGCAGTTTTAAATGATCAGCGGAAAATAGTGCTCATGAACAGAGGTTGAGATTGCATAATTCGATACCTCACAACTTCAGATTCACAGATTCAGATTCAGACCCACAGCATGGCTAAGGATTAATTAGACTATAGGATTTGGCTTACTTCACAGCCATGAACCAATGTTGCTGCTTGTCAGTGGCAGCTAATATTACAGGGAGTGATATTCATTTGTGAGAGCTTTTTATTGTGCATTTTATTGTACAAATTTGGACACACACGCAAGTGCATGAGTGAGCATGAGAGAGCATTTTCAGTCCAATTTTCAAGGACAGTAACGGTGATGATAAATGGAGAAATGTTTCCATAAGACTGGAAATTTGAAATGTGTTATCTGCTAAAAGCCTTTTTATCAGCTTAGATGTACACCCTGTACACGGGAACTAAAAGCCACAGAACCCATATATGAATTTCATGCGGTCTATAAACTTTTACCAATTCTTAAAAACCACCCATTCCATGTATGAGGACTGATGAAGCACAAATAATGCATCATGCACAATGAGTGAGAAAACGTTTTACACAAAGTTTTGTGTATTTAAGACCCTCAAGAGTTTCCCATTAATTACTGTGGCGACCCGTATAATTTGTCCTGTCACAGATTCGTAATGAACCAAACTTGGTTTTGATCTCTAAAATTGTTTTTTGCGATGTTGTTCTGGCACAACTTTTAGTCGAAATCATAATAAAATAAACTTAAAAAAACAACAACATGAAATCACGAGCTTAGTACCAAAGGAGGGTAATAGTGCTTCATTTATTCTGTTACATTTGTCTAAATCACTTTTTTGGAAACTATGTAGGCCTAATTTATAGAGTTTTAGAGATTTTACTCTTCTTATGACAAAAATGTACTGTAACTTTGTAACACTGGCTGATGTAATTCTTGTTACTTAATTTTAATGCAATAAACGTTAATAAATGCATAGTTTTCGCCAAGGGCATTGTTAGACTTTTTTACGAGATTTTTACTCTTCTTATGACAAAAATGTACTGTAACTTTGTAACACTGGCTGATGTAATTCTTGTTACTTCATTTTAATGCAATAAACGTTAATAAATGCATAGTTTTCGCCAAGGGCATTGTTAGACTTTTTTACTGGGGCATGAGCGATGCTCCATTCGTTTTAACATCTGTTCATCTGATAAATGCTTTATTGACTTCATCATCATCATCATCATCTTGCTTGCTGTGATATCAGATCCAAAGTACTTGTTTCCTTCAATAGCCTACTTTTTATTAAGTAGTATAGTATGAATCTATTATAGTACTAATTAATTTTCCCTTCATGGCAGTTTTTGCAGCATGTCATAAGACACAGATGTACAATAAATGTAATAAATGTGGACTGAGACTATTATAAATTAAAAGATGTTTGAGTTCACTTTAAATTTCAGCAGGGGTGTTTCCTCCAAGGGGACGACAAAATAATCCATAGCACAAAAATAAAACAATGCAAATATTACAAAATATGACATTAAAGGGGTCATATGATGCAAGTTCAGTTTTTCCTTTCTCTTTGGAGTGTTACAAGCTCTTGGTGCATAAAGAAGATCTGTAAAGTTGCAAAGACTAAAGTCTCAAATCCAAAGAAATATAAAAGTCTTTATCAAAGTTAAGAGAGTCAACCACGCCTACCTAAAACGGCTCGTTCTAACACGCCCCCACATGTCTACGTCACGATGTGGGAAGATTTGCATAACGCCGCCCAAATGTTCACGCAAAGAAAGAAGGCGTAACTTTTATTCTCGCTGTAGTATTGTTGCTGCCGCCATGTCGTGAAGACGCTGTGTGTTTCGTTGTGAAAGCGAAACTACTTTGTTTGGTCTTCCAAAAGAGGACACGACTAGAAATCAGTGGTTAAGTTGTATTTACAACACTGTTCCAGAACACTTCAACCCAAATATTCAGATGTGTGCAGCACATTTTATGGAGGACTGTTTACTGATCCTGGTAGAGTAGACTACAATGCTGGCTGTTCTGACTGTAAGTACATTTTAATTTAAAGAATTTGCCACTGATGATTCAAACGTGAGTTTTGAGCAGTGTAGAGTAGCGCTTGTAGTTTGT